ATACTTTTGGAATCGATATTATCGTCACAAGAATTTAAGTTATTGTAGCAAAATTTTTTGTCAATATTTTAATTGTTTTTATACTCAAGAAAAATTATCACAAAAAATTGAGCTATTGTGATGACTTAATAAAAGTTGTCACTAATAAAATAGTGACGAAAGTATTTGTAACGACTTGAAATTGGTCACTATAACTTGTAGTGGCTAAATTTTATTTCTTTAGCGATCATTTTTTTCTCTACTAAAAATATTTTTTTCTTGTAGTCACACCTATGTTGGCAAACAAAAAAAGTAAAATATTTGGACCATACTCTCCAAATAAAATCATGCGACGGGGATATATGGTCGATTGATGGAATGTTTCTACAGTTGTTTTGAAATTAAGAGGTACAACGTATGGTATGCTATGTTGAGATAGTAATTGGAAGCCATAGTAATCTTCTAAACGACTATCTATTAGATGGCTAATTTTGAGATAGTAATTGGAAGCCATGGTAATATTTAGGACATAGATTTCTAGGGTTTTGGTGTTTTTATTTTGAAAATATAGAATTTGTTGGTAAATGAAAAATTAGGTAAATTGGAGGCTTATAAAGATTTTTGTTGAAAGTTTTGGATTTTGGAGTAAAAAAATAGACTTATACACATATATAGAAGATTAAAACCTAATTAATTTGTTTTTCATCACCCGCTTCCTTCGTATTTACAATGCAAATTGAACTCCAATTAGGAGTATATCTCTAATAGGGCTTAGAAATTTGCTATATGCGGCAATTAGTTAATTACTTTTGATCTTAAATAAAATATTTATTTCATTTTCACATACAAAACATTCCTTTTATACATTTAAACAATTCTAATAAATTTTATTAATAGAGAAGTATTATAATGTCAATGTCTCTAAGCAATAAGTAGGAATGAAATATACATATACAATAATTTTTATATATTGCTATAAATACAAAGTTTTAATTTTTTATAAAATAAAGTTTGAATTGCTAATTTTAAACCAAAGCAAAGGAATACATTTGTACACATATACATAGGGAACTTAGGTGCTAATTTTAATATAAATGGTTATTTATTAATATATATAATTCCCATACAGTCATTCAATTAAAAGTACAATAGAGAAATACTCTAACATATATATAAACCGGTAAAGAAATTAAAAAGTTCATAAAATTATTTCGAAAGAAATCAATTTTCATCAATCAATCATCATTACTATTATCTCTTTATAAATCTAATAACAAAAATATTATTGTTTAAACTTTTAATTACTTTTATTTGTTGAATACTGAAATATCTAGTTTATTTTAATATGCCAAACATGTTTTAATTTGTTTAAAGAAATTATAGTCATTTACTATGGAGGTATTAAGTTACAATATCTGTGTAGATTGTACATATATATATTCATAACTAAACCAATATTCAATTATATATTCATGTACCAATTTACTATATAAACAAATGTTTATTGAAATTAAACCAATTTTTCAAGTTAAAGTCTGGAACGACTTGATCTAAAAGTGAATATCAACATATTGTTATTTAATTACTTTCTATTGCAGGCTATAAGGGTTATTGGATTGGAACTTGGGCTTAAATGAATAAATGAGAGCCATGTTGATAGGCTATATGTGTTACAGGCCTATATAGTTTTATTTGTTTCTTTTATGAAATATGTTATTATTGTTATACTAGACGAGGAAAGAGAGAGAATTATGACGTGCAATATCCGATGTTTACGGATTACAGTTATGTTGAGTATTCTGCTAAGAATTAAAAATGATGAAAAGGAGCATTGTATACGATTTTGTCGAGAAATATCAGCAGTTATTCTCTCTTCTAGAATTCTTACTTCTTTTCTCTTTCTCCTTCTATCTCTTCTTTTTTTTTTTCTTCTGCGATCTATCTGTTGTCGTTATTTTGGAAATTTAAAAGCTGTGCCATTTTGGTATCAAAGCATCGACTTGGCAATCATGGCGGATGGAGTCTCTACTAGCATGCAAGAGGTAATCCAAAAAAATGAAGAGGAAATCGCTAAGCTTTAGAATGAAATTTAGCAGATCGATGCATAGATGGAGAAGAAATTTGATGTCAAGATGGAACAAGTGTTTGGAGTGATGCAAAATAAGTTACTAGAACATTTGAAAAACTTTGTTGGAGTTGGCTCCTAATGATGGTAGCTCGATGCCTAGCAAGCAAGAGGGAGACTTAGTCTCTGTTAGCAAAACACAGAGGAAGAAGGGAATGGAGCCAGTTTCTGATTGTGATACAGACAAACCTTCCTCTGGTGGAATGATGCTCAACAGTTCTTCACATTCAGATCAACCAAGGTACTTGTTTTCTAATTCATGTAAGCTGTTTAATGATTTCAAAGGTTGGGTTTGAAACTAGAATAGCACTTTGAGGTTAACAGAATACCTGCGATTATATTGATTAACAAAGTTTTTTAAAAAATTAACACTTGTCTTACTAGAGTATATTTATAAAAAAAATAACAAATTGATTAATTATTTAATAGCTATAATGATTTTTTAAAAAATACTGTATAAAATAATAATCCAAATATTAAATGGATATAACAACTTTAAAATAATTTGTATAATTAAAAAATTACCATAATAATTTTAAAATATATATAATTTTTTTAGTATTGTGTAGAGTTCATAAAAAAGTTGCGTAGAACCACACTTTTAAAAGGTAGACTTTTATATAATTTTTTAAATTGGCTAATTACAAAATTGCAATAAAAATTATAGGTGGAATTAGCTTTATTTTTTTTTTTTGCAATTAATTTTGTTCAAAGCCAATTGTTTCTCCAAATAAATAAAACAAGAGTACTCTTCACCATGTTATATTAAAAAAAATGGAGAAAAAGTTATGAAAAGTCATTGATATTTAATTTAAAAACATGTTGGACTAAATTCAACTATAATTTTAGTTTGGGAAAAAATGTTTTCTATTTTTGTCAATAATTATGTTTTGTATTTTATTGGCTATATATTATTATTATTGAAAATTTGGATTAAATTTAATTACAGTCAAACCCCAACTTTAATTAAATATTAAAAATGAAAAATATTTTGTGATGATAAGCCTTTGAATTTTTCATATAAGCCTCCATCCTTCTATTATATCCAATTAAGTTCTTAAAAAATTATTTTTGTCTAATTAAACCTTTAAAGTATAATTTTGTTCAATTAAGCTCTTTTTTTTTAGATGAAAATTGTAAAAAAGGAAAAATTATTTCTTGCCAGATCAACATAGATGCCATAATTCTTTCTATGATGCCAACATTTACCTAACATATATTTGAAAATAAAAAAGCTCTTTGGATGCTAATGTGACCTATTATACGAGCCATTCATTACATATTATGTAAACAATAACTCAACTTAAATATTTATATTTCGCAAAGCAGACATTGATTTAACAAAAACAATTATTACCATTGACATGGGAAAAATAATGAATTTTAATGGTTTTCATATAAAATAAGACTTAATTTAATAAAAGTAATGTTTTATGCTTTTAATTGGATTAAAGAAAAAGATAAAAGTTTATTTGAGAAATTTGAGAAAACTACAACATTTTTTAGCATTTTAGTAAAAAAAAGGTACAAATTGAAGTTATATCGTTTAAAATCATCACTCAAATCCATTTTAAGTGTACTCAATACAGTTACAATTAAATTTTGAATGATTTAAAAGGTAGTGAATGAAGAAAAGTTAGAAAGATGAAATTATGAGAAATAATGTGTATGAGTGTGTATAAGAATAAATGGCCAGTAAATAATAAAATAAAAAAATTATTGTGTGAAGTTGTGTTTATTGTAGTTTGGTGTACTCACCAATTGTATTATTTGTTTATTCAAACAAATAAAAAAGTGATCTTAAAATTGCTATAGCATTCCACAGCAAAAGTACTATAGCAAATCGGTACTAAGAGAAATCACAATGATACTGAAGTCGAATTCTACATCTAACCATTAATTACATTTAGAAATAGAAAATCTTAAACATACAAACTTGAGTGCTTAAACACAGATATTCTATATTACAGCTGATTCATACCAAAGCTTTATTATAAGAATGAATTAAACATTTTCCAAATCAAAGGAGGAAAAGAAATAGATTGAAAGTAAATAGCACGTGCCTTAGAATTATTATTCAAATTATTAGCACCTTAATATTAGCCCCTGCAAACTTCATGATCCACAATTCTCCTAATTTTATGATTGAGAATGGATTGCGGCAATGGAAGCGATTGACGAGTAAAGGGCTTGAGTGACCTTGTCGCATGGTTGGCCGAAGTTGGTGATTGCCATTCAAGCATGCAAATGCTAGCTTTGTGGTAGAGACAACATCCTTTGCAACTTGTCTTACCGGTGGTGAAAGACGTTGGTCTATCACATCTTTAAGTAAAATTTGTTGGTTCTCATTTGGTACCAATGTCGATGTCGATGCCGATGGTGACGATGGTAAACATGAAATCAAATCAACAGGATGCCTCCCCATAAATATTTCCATTATTAGAACTCCAAAACTGTAAACATCACATCTCTCATCTACTTTCGATGTATAAGCCAACTCTGCTTAGAAAAATATATCTAATCAATGTGGTCTATTAAGCAAGAAATATATTTTATCAATACACTATTATGTAAGAATAAAGAATATTGAGAAGATTATAAAATAATGTTGAAAAGAAATTGTAAATGTTTAGAAGATTACTTGAAAATTGAAATTCATTGGTTCTAACAAAATTTTACATTAGTTCATCAATTAGATATATTGAATATTGAAAAATTAAGTGTTAAACTTCAAAGATTAATTACACATTTGATACTTGAATTATAGTAAAATTCTTAATTTGATACTTAAAATTTGAAAAGTTACAACCGTGATACTACTTGAACTTTGTTTTAATGCATCAATTTGCACACAAACTAACACTTTTAATTGAATGATGACATGTTTAAAGTATCTTAAAAAAAGATATCAATAAATACCTGGAGCTATGTACCCAAAAGTACCAACAAGTGAGGTCCAATTAGAAGAGTCAGGCTTTAAAAGCCTGGCTGTGCCGAAATCTGAGACATGAGCCTCATAGTCCAAATCCAGAAGAACATTGTTGCTGGAAATGTCTCGATGAATTATAGGTGGTGAATGGTCATGATGCATATAAGACAAGGCATTCGCCACTCCTTTTACAACATTTAGCCTTTTCTCCCAATCCAACTCCATTGCCTCGTCCTTGTTGCTTAACACCATTCTCAAACTTCCCCTTTCTACAAACTCATAAACCAAAAATGAGTTCTTTGGATGTGAACAAAAGCCATACAGCTTCACAATGTTACGATGCCTTATTTCTGATAAGGCATGAATCTCGCTTTCAAAGGCTTTCAAGTTGTTGGAAATCATGCTATCTTCAGATTGGTGAAGTTTCTTCACAGCAACCACCCCACCAAAAGGTAGCGCAGCTTTATAAACAGCTCCATAGCCTCCTGAACCAATCCAATTGTTGGAGCTGAAATCTTCAGTGGCTTCAATAATGTTCTCATAGAGTATTCTTCCATTATATCCCCACAATTTGAGAAAATCTCCAAGTTGTGCCTCGATTGACTCAACTTTCTGGTTTGGTTTTTTGGGCAAAGAATAAGGAAACTTGCAGCCACGATAAAGAGCAAAAGAAGAAGTCCAAAGAGTGGAAGCACAATGAACATGATGTTCTTGGTGCTTTTTGTATGAAAGCCAACACAAGGCATTAGTCCAGTGGCATTACCACATAGGCCCCTATTGTTTCTTAAGGCATCAAATGAAGCCTCATGGAATGCCTTAATGTTGGGAATAGGGCCTTCTAATTCATTGTAAGAGATATTCACAACAGTCAAGCTTTGCAAATCATTGAAAGAAATTGGGATGGAACCATTGAGCATATTGTGAGAAAGATCCAATATTTCCAAGGAATGTAATTTTGCAAGCTCTTGGGGTATCTCCCCAATAAGTAAATTCCGACTTAAATCTAGATTTTGAAGGCCATTTATGTAGCTTACTGAAAGTGGAATGCTTTCTCCAAGTTTATTCTTGCTCAAATTCAGGTCCAATAACTTTGAGCACTCTCCAAGTTGATTAGGAATCGGTCCACTCAAATTGTTTGATGCCAAGTTAAGATATTGTAGATTTGAAAGAACTCCAATCTCTGGTGGAATTTTGCCTGAAAGTTGGTTACCACTTAGCAAAAGTTTGTACATCAATGTCAACGCTCTCAATTCCTTGGGAATCTCACCAATGAGATGATTTGAAGAGACATCGAGTTCGTGTAATTGAGTTGCATGCTTCAGCTCAGGTGGTATCTTTCCAGAAATGTTATTATTGGAGATCCGTAGGCTTGTTAGACTATGGCATTGCCCCCAGTTTGGCGAAAGTTCGCCATAAAATTTGTTGTTGCTTAATGCAATATAATTCAAATTAGGATATATACCAAAAGCTTCTGATATATTTCCTGTCAACTGGTTTCCTTCAAGCCTAACTCTGAATAAGCTTTTGCAAGTTTTCAAAGTTGGTGGGATAAGACCCGTCAAATTGTTGTTGAAAGCCGAAAGATTTGCGAGTTGTCCACCCCTGCATAAATTTTTGGGTAATGGACCACTGAGATGGTTATCTCCTAATTGTAATGATTGCAAATGAGTAAGATTGCCGAGCGCTGAAGGAATTGGCCCTGATAAATGATTATGGTGAAGATATATCATCATAAGCTTTGACATGCTTCCTATGGAAGCAGGGATTGAACCAGAGAAATTATTTTGGCTCAACCCAAAGTCAGTGAGAGATTTAAGCATCCCTATCTCTTGAGGTATCGACCCAGAAAACATATTATGGTGAAGGTGGAGAGTGGATAAACTGGTCAAGTTTCTTATGGAAGCAGGGATTGAACCAGAGAAATTATTATGACTCAACTCAAAGTCAGTGAGAGATTTAAGCATCCCTATTTCTTGAGGTATCGATCCACAAAACATATTTTGATAGAGGTGGAGAACAGATAAGTAGGTCAAGTTTCCTACGGAAGCAGGGATAGAACCACGTAGATAGTTATCAAAGAAATAAATCTCGGAAACTGAACTCAGCCTCCCTATCTCTAATGGAATGGAACCACTGATCTCATTACTTGCCAAGGAAATCAACTCAAGACCTTTCAATAAGCAAATTTCGGATGGAATATTCCCCGAAAAGTTATTGTATTGCAAGTCAAGGAAGGTGAGCTTGGAAAGGTTCCCAATGTGTGAGGGAATGGGCCCATACAGTGAGTTGTTGCGAAGGTCAAGCCTCATCAGGTTAGGGAAGAAAAGAAAGCTAAGACTATGAAGTGTACCTTTCAACCCAGAATCTGGAAGGCTTAGATTGGTGATGCTTTCAGCCTTGTCGCAGGTAATTCCAACCCAACTGCAATGGAAGTCTCCAACCCACAAAGAAGAGAGCAAAGTTTGGGTGTTGTTGTCAAGGCTAGCTTTCCATTTTAGAAGAGTTTCCGCTTCTTTACCTCTTGTAAGTGCAGCAATGGAGGATGAAGAAGCAAAAACAGAGGAAAAGTGAAGCAGGACAAGTATGAGGAAGAACATGACTTTGAATGGTATTAAGAAAGATGACATGATTTGGATAGTTCAAAAAGGATTTTTGTTAATTGTTCTAAATTACATTGGCTAGCATGGTTAGGTATTTATGCAAAATACAATAGCATTTTAGTGCGAAATATCAAGTGAAAAAATATAACTTCAAGACTGACGAGTCTTTTTCATTTAAATTAATTTTGATAGATGATGACTATTGGTCTTCTACGTTTAAAGGAAAATTTTAGCTTTAGTTTGCACTTATTATTAATCAAATGTTAAAAAAATCATGATAATTATTTTAAATGAAAATTTTATCTTATACATCAATCAAATTTTAAATTCTATAAATGAGTTTAAAAGATTACTACAAACAATTAGATCATAATTAAAAAATATGTAAAGAAATTAACGAATTAAAATATTTTATATAAAAATTTTAATCTTATAAATAAAATTAAAAAAATTGACATAGATTTTTTTAAGAATAATCTATAAATATTAATGAATTGATTAATTATTATACAATATATGCATACAAATTATTTATTTAATTTGTGAAATTTAAAATTTTTATCATCAATTTGTATTAAATAATAATTAAATTATTAAATGAAGATGCACAGCTATGTAGATTATAGTGAAGTCAATATATAAAATAATAATTTTAAATGAATAAATTTTTATTCATTTAATTTGGTTCGGGTTGATCTTTTATTCAATATTGAATCTTGTCCAAATTTTTGGCTTCTCATTTTTAACGTGTTCATGGTGCACAATAAATTATAGGTCAAAGGATATCATTTATAAAAATGTAAAAAAAATAAAAAAAATATATCATTTATAATTCAATTTTGATTAATATTTATTTAACGGTAAAAATATCTATATAAAAAAAATCAAATTTGACTTATAAATTTGTAAGTCAATAAAAATTGATGGTTAAATTAGATTATTTCAAGTTTAAATTTTAAAATTTAAAGAGTTCAAAATTTAAGTCATTTTATAGATTCAATATTATCTAGAAGAGTTAAAATTCTACAAGGATTTACATAAAAACATACTCTCTGAACTAATCATATTCTTTGAACTTATTCTATCGTATTCTTTGAATTAATCAAATATATTAATACTAATTCCTCCTTTCTTCTATTATAATATTCAAACTTCATAGTAAATGTTATATTCTATTCCTTTTATATTTTATTCTCACAAAATACAAGTTTCATTCCTCTTTTATTTTATTTTACAAACCAAACATGTCGTAAGTTCTTAGATTTTTGACAATCCATAACTTAAGGTGTGAACTAAACTCATGTTTGAAAATCACATGCATACCAATTATGATGTTCACAACAAATAGATACGATTTTGGATTCAATTTTCTATGTTTAATTTTCGCTACTTGTTATGTTCATACATGTATGTTTGTGTGATAAATATTGTCAAATCGCTACAATTTTAAATGATTAATTTAAACTATTTAAATGAACATATAAACAATTATTGATCAATTTTATAAAATTATCCTTTAAAAGCATAAAAAAACTTTCAAAAAATTCTAAATTAACCAATAATATACATTTTTAAGTTTTGAATAACTTTAAATGATTAAATTAAATGAGTATCTAAACAATAAATTTTGATAATGTATGGCCTTTCTTTAAGGTGCCACATGGCATTCATCACTTTTTATTTTTTTCTTTTTTATTTAATTTTTTGTATTTAATAAATATTTTTATTTAATTGTTTTGTGTGTGGACCCAAAATCTAGAAGGCTTAGATTGGTGATGCTTGTTGCCTTATTGTGGGTAATTCCAACCCAATTGCAATGGTTGTCTCCAACCCACAAAGAACATAGCAAAGTTTGAGTGGTGTTGTCAACTCTAGCTTTCCATTTTAGATCATTTCAGTTTCTATGAAACATTCATATCAAAATGCAACTTCAGATGGATCTCTTACATTTAAATTAATTTCGTTGGATTTCTTTTATAAAAAAATTGCAACAAAAAAAATTTTCAAATCCTATATATTTAAATTAAGTAAATTAAATTTTAAATTCTCTCATAAATATTGATTATTGGTATTTTTCTATTTTTTGTAATAAAAGAATATTCTAATTTAATTCATGCTTATTTTAATAAAAAGTATGGGTTATAAAATTTTCATGATAATTTTTTTAAATGAAAATTATATGATACATCATTGAAAATTTTAAACTCGATAAATGAGTTTATAAGATTAATACATATCATTAGGTTATAATTAAAAAAATTAAGTACATAGACAAATTAATGAATTAAAAATTATCTAATATAAATTTTTTAAATTTTATGAACAAAATTAAAAAATTGACATGTATTTTATAATAATATATTTATAAAAATTAATAAATTATTAAAAAAACTCTATCATCTACATATGTAAAATAATTTAATTATTAAATGAAGATACCAACCCTATAGACCATAAACCAACACTCAAATTAATTTATAAATAACAATTCTTAAATATATAATTATATAAATTTTTATTCATTTAATTTGGTTCAAGCCTATCTTTTATTCAATATGGAGTCTTATCCAATTCTTTGGGCCTCTCATTTTGATCTCTCATTTCTAATGTATTCATGGTAATAATTAAATTATAGGTGGGAGGATATGCAAGAGTTAGTCAATATTGAATAGAAAAGACTTAAATGAATTAAATAAAATTTTGTAAGTAAGGTTTTAAAATCATACACATCTTCATCTTCACCTCTAAAATTTAATTTTTTTTATTTTCATTCAAATAAAAAAATGAAGTTTTATTAAATTTGGATAAGATTGACATCTCTAATGTACTAGAAATAATTTAGGATTCATTTGAATGGGTGATAAAATTAATTTTGGTGAGATTAAAAACAACGATTGATTGGATACTGTATCAATGTGATTAAAATCAATTGTCAAGATATGTCTTTCCATGCAAACACGTGGTAGAAATGAGGTAACTTGTAATTAGAGGAGAAATCACCATTAAATTTGTATGTAATAAAACTTTTAAATTATTTAACGTTTATAAAATTAATAAATAATTTAAAAACCCATAAATTATTTTTCTGTCAAATAATATTTTTTGATAAATAATTAAGAACTAATAGAAAAATAATATCAAAAATGCTATTTTTCTTTAATTTTTTATTAATGATGTAGTTATCTATTTTTAGTTAAAATAATAATATAATATAATACTAAATTTTATATTTAGTTCTTAATTATTTATATAATAAAATTTATAAAATAATATTTTTAATTCATAATATAATAATAATTTTATTTATTTATAAGTTTATTCTACAATAAAATTTTTCATTATATTAAATTAAAAACTATTTCATAATTTATTAACTAAAAAAAAAAGAGCAAAAATATCAAAAGTGTCAAAAGCTTACCACACTCCTTTCCCATCAATGCAATTTAAGTCTTCCACTGAAGCCACGTAAATAAAATCAAGTCATGCCTTTGTGATCCAAATAGTAAAACACAGTGCAATTGTATAAAAAGTGCTTAAATGCATTAAACAGTAACACCAATTCATTTTAAATGAGGTTTTAGATGAATTTTTGTAAGCAAAATTTGTGAATTTTTTATTAAAATATTAAATAAAAACTAAAATTAATTAATTTAAATTAATGAGTTAAAAAAAATCATGTATCATAAATAAAATTGAACATTTAAAATAAAAGCATAAAAGCATAAAATAAATAATTTTTTTAGAAGGCATCTGATTTAAAAATAATTGATCTTAAACAAGGAGGTTTTTATATAGTAAAATAAATTGTTATGTTATGTGGTATCAATAAAAACAACAGTAGCAACTAGATACAAAAAATATATATAGTATGAATTGTATGACTTATAATTTTATAATAATATTGGTTAGAATTTTATAAATTATAACAATAATATGATTTATAATTGATTTTATGGCATATAAGATTATTATCAATTTCAACAAATAGTTGTTGCTAATAGAAAGTCAAAACAAAGTGTAACCTTACCATTATATATTTATTGAGTTTCAAGCTAGCAAAATTCTAGGTAACTAATTGTAACGCTATTTAACGTAAATTTAATAAAGTTATCTTTGATGTATATGTGATCTGTTCTGACTTTGAATAAAAAATCTCTCTTCATCATAGATTTTTTAGTATAAAAAAAATCAAAATTGATTTAGCCAAAGGATTAAAAATTTAAGGCGAGAAGAGTGAAAACATTAAAAATATGTAAACATGTTTTTTTTAATGTGTGTTTAATAAGAAATTTTGAAAAATAGATAAAAATATTTTATTTATTATTTAAAAAATATATCCTTTAATTTGTAAGCTAAATCAAGATATAACATGAAGTGAAAAAGTTAGAATTGAATTTATTTCATATAAGATTTGAAATTTTCATTCTTATGATATTTTGTTTAATATCTTGGAATCAAGTTATTGGATAATTAAAACAAAATTATAACTTTAAAATCCATATTGATTTTAAAAATATAAATAAATTCTGAAAATTTATAATCAAATTATTAATTTTAACACTGACTTATTAAAAGTTCCACCAACACGTTAAAAATAACAAATTTGGATGAACTTTTTAAAGTGAAATTTGAAAATTTCTTTACAATAATTTAATAAAAAATTTAAATTGATAAACTAATAGAGTCCAAAAAATAAATAAGAATGTAAACAGATATAAAAAATATCATTTATAATTCAATTTTAATCAATATTTATTCAATGGTAAAAATGTCTATCTAAAAAATAAATCAAATTATTTTCAATTTTGCACATTCAATCTATGAAATAAAATATTTCAATTAATTGGTTTTAATTTTTAATTTTAGTTTTTTAAAATTACTTTCAATAAAAAAAGTACAAACTTCACCTTAACTTCATATAAGTATTTTTCCACTAAAAATACTTGTAGACGTTGATTTTGTCTGAAAAATTGAATTTATTTTGAAATAAATTTGAAATGATCCTAGATTTTTTCCTAACTTGTTTGAACTATTTTTATTGGGTTTATCATGTAATTTTTATAATGGATCC